CAAAACATAGACCATTCCAAAATCCACCAAATCACGAAAAAAAAACTGTTGCAAAAATACATTATATCACCGAAAAAAAACTCTTCAAACAGTTTTTTTTTCGTGATCTGGTGCATTTTTGAATGCTCTAAGTTTTCTTGGAAATGATTTCGGAATATTTTTAACAAATACATTTTGTAGAGAAAACATTTTTCTACAAAATGAGATATTTCACAGCTCTGAGCGAATCATGATAACTGACATATAGCAATTCGCCCGAGTGCCCCATCACCAGTTAAAAACTGGTGCATACCAAAGTATAGCATCATATTCACCACGTATTAGAAGGAAGAAACGAGACATTCACCACAATAAATTGTACATAGCCTTTTTCATGCTGTTTTAAAATCAGCTTCTGTAATGAATCAGTCAATAATTTAACATTGGTTTATAGAGACAATCAACCAACGATCTTAGATCCATACATACTACGAATTACGTAGAAACAGACCGTTTAACTGCAAATGTTATCCCGCTGCTAAAAAAATACATCGACGCTGTTCTTTGTATTTATCAAGAAGCGAACTATTATGGTTGCCTACCGGATTTCTCACTGGTGTGGGTCTTAATTTAGATCCTTTATGCAATAAGATGCCTCTTGCGCAGCAGGCCATTGCAAGATCTCTCAGGTTTTGTCTATTGCTTCGGGTGGTTATTTTGTATCATCGAATATAGTGCATATGCGAAAAGAGATATTTCCTTATTTGCTATAGTTCTAATGTTAACGATTCGAAGAAAGAGAAGTGCCCAAGGACACGTCCTGACTAACAAAAAGAAAACAGAAAGATTTCGCGATGCTTATCCTAGAACATCCTCGACATTTCTTTCACTTCTTCAAACGAACAATATCACAAAGGAAACAAACTACACAATTGACTATTGTTAGAGTTATTCTTGTAGTCAGTGTAGATCGCAAAGAGGATGACAGTTATGTGATATTTTTAAAAGAAAAACAGACTATATCGACTGAAAGCAATTCTGAAAAACAATGAACTATATGATACGAACGAATTCTATAAATATGACGAGCATTCATTTTTTTCGTTATAACACGCACGCTTCACTCTGTCAAGACACACATTTATAATTCTTCGTTTAAAGAAAATCGTCGGTAAGTAGGTCATTCGTCTAGATGAAGAGGTGAAATTTTAAAGCGGTTTAGAAGACTGGGCGATTCAACTGCTTGTGTCAGATAATAAAGAGTGGTGAAACTAGTCAGACTACACTTCTAGAACCAGTTTGAAGTATATTGTCAGGTCATGTGACTTGCTGTCTAAATGAGACGCAACGGTTCGAATGAAACTGTAAAAGATTTTTTTATTTTAGTTTACATCTGATCATGCGTTCAAGTTCGGTCTTGGCAATTGTTGTTGTATTATTGGTTTGCTTGTTCAAACACGGAAATTCGGTACCAGTGGAAATGGAAACAACAACAGCCATGACAACTGAGTTTACAGCAACGGAAAGTTCAAGAAAAGATATCGTGTTTAATTCAACAGAAGGTGAAATGGAAAAGCCTAGATATCCTCATGATGGATATTGTGGCCATTTAGAGGAGGCATGCAGTGATGAACGTCGGTGTTGCCCTGACTTTGAATGTTATCACAGCGAAGGTCGATGTATTTATTTAATGCAGTGAGCATATCAATTTAATTATATTTAGCATATTAATTTTTTTCAATAATAAATATTTTACGTAATGACATTGGTAAAAGTGTTTTGAAGGATGTGATCACAGTAGTTCTGATATTCATGTGGGATGATGCTATTTGTTTGACTGACTTTGCAACTGCATGATCAAGTCGTTGTTGTCTTTAGGATTAGAGTGTCGATTTGAGTATTACTGTGACTGAATATATCAAGATAAAAGCGATGAAACGATGTATCCTTTGTGATATTGTTCGTTTGGAGAAGTGAAAGAAATTTTGATGGTGTTCTATGATAAGGATCGCAAAATCTCTGGAAATTTGTGGAAGTTTTTATTTCATGAAATAAAAACTGTACAGTAGTGGGTGCTGTTAAAAACCCAAATTTGTTTTACTGCAATTGTTGACTCTGTCACACCTCAGTAGAGATGTGCAACCTTATCCGTACCCGACCCGAAGTTTGAGTACGGAGTACGAAGTAAGAGTTACTTGAAAACGTAATGATAATTTGACATCTCCAGCCGAAAAACAAAAGGGGAACTTAGACTCTCTTTATCGCTAGAAAAAAAACAAAGCAGAGAGATATTTCTTTATGACTGAAAATTCAAGTCATTTGCCTGAAGATGAATCTCGAAAACTAAATCAACAATAAATTAGAGTTTGTATAAAAATCTCGTTATGTTCTTTGTAGTCGTTTTATAGTCAATTTTCTCTTCTTTCGCTAGTGCGAATCTTACTTGAACGTTAGTATGATCTTAGAATAATTATTAAAATCTTAGTAAGATTTTGCTTATATTTGCCTAAGATTTTGACTAGGGATTCTTTCGTACTGCTTTACTCTCAAGTTTTTTAAGTCCACAAAAAGCTCTAATATCTTCGGTTAGCATCTTTTAATAAGAATTTGAGTTTTACCGGCTAATTCTGGGCCTGTGAAAAACCTCTAACGAGGGAAGGTCCCCAGGTGTCCAAGCCGTTTAGACCCCATCTTTTGGCCACT